GTCGTCGTATATATATATATATATATATATATATAAGCTTTGTACACTTGTAAATTTATTACTCGGTCCTTACAATTGGATGAAAACGATCATTGTCCAGTCGCGGAAAGAAAAAAAGGAGGAGGAAAAAAACAGGAGGGATAAGATTTATCATTCGTCTCCGCGAAAGGATTCTGCGCACGACGAGCAGATATACAATCTCATTTTACGAGGAAAGGTAAATTGGAAAATAGGTTTTTGCGACATTGTCGAGTATCGAACCGGCTCGCGTTTTTCTCGCGCGCGTCACGTTGTTGCAACACTTTTAATAAACGACTCGCTGAAAGCGGATTATTATCACCGTTATCCATCCTGATAACGGGGCCTCGTCCTCTCGGACAGTGCGGCGGTGGTTTTTTACCCGCTCCTTCGCTTCAGGGTACAACAGGCACGCTCTCTCCCGTGCTCTCTGCCCTCTTCTAATTGGCCACGTTCTTGAAAATTTTGCAGACGCAAATTAATTTCCCTTCGACAAGAGATATATTCAACGGACATTCCTCGCCGCGGCATTTTCTCGTGCTTATATTTATTCTCGGCAATTTCTTAGAAAAATACATCGTGGAGAGACGCGTGGCGTATATCGAAGACGATTATAAAAGACGCAAGATAATTCGAGAAAATGTATTAATTGGAAAAGAAAAATATTTTTTTTCAAGATCTTCACAGATTGCGAGCTCGAATCGATCAAAGCGAGTGCGTTTGTTGTTTGTGCACTCGTAGAGAGATATGTGGCAAAATTATGAAAAAGGTAACACACGTAAGGTACACACACACACACACACACACACACACACACACACACACACACACACACACACACACACACACACACACACACACACAGATAATTTGAGAATATTTAATTGAACAAAATTGGAAAAAAATAATAATGGCATTAATTAGAAAAACAAAGGATATTTTCGAAATTATCAAAAAAAAAAAAAACGCGAGCTCGGATCAATTCGAGCGATCAATGCGTTTGTTATTTGTGCAAACGCAAGTGTGATCAAAAAGGAGATGCGAGACAGTTTTGGAAGCTCCGCGAGTCGACCAAGTGTCACTTTCGAAATCCTCGACGACGCTTTTCAGGTCAGCGGAAGGATCGCGTATCGTCGTCGCCCTCGGACTGTCGTGCGCGCGAATAAAACGAAACGAAATGAACTTTCCAAGAGCCCACGCTCGCGCGGGCAATTCCCTCGCCGCTATTTCGTGACACCTGAGTGTACGGCAAGGCAAAGAGAGAAAGTCTCGTAACGAAGTGTGCGAATATCTGCGATTCCGCAAGACGCTGGATTAGCCCTCACGATTTAGCCGATCGTATCGATCCGGCGTCTCGATACTCCGAACGTGCGTCGCATAGAAACTAGCGATTAATCTCGTTCTCGGGAATAT